GAGGCATGCGTGTGGCCCCACGGTCAGATATGATGGATGGTGGTACGATTCATTCCAAACTATAGCAAACACCTGCAACAGGCTATCACGAATTTAAAAACCACCGTGTTTTAAGCTTAAAGGCGAAAATCATATTAGGCCTGATTAGATGCCATCATCAAGGTGATCATAGCACTGTTACGTAATTTTTTTACCTTTACGAATGAAGAGGCAAAATTTTTCGTTTAGGGGTAAATCAAATTACCATAGATCTATTGCAGACATTAGATAGGTGCATTGATTGAGAATATAATACAACAAAGGTGAAAAAATGAAAAAAACAACCCACACGCCTACCTTGTATGCTCCTGAAATTGTTTTGCAACTACGTAGTGATGTCAAGAGAGCTGGAGACAAATCTGAGCCTAGTCCCTCTCGGCCGTCATATCTTCCGGCGATCAAACGCCCTTCACTTTTCTGCATGATGGACAAGGCAGTTAGGAAGTTCTTGAAGTGAAATGACTCTTTCGCCTTATGTCCTTGTCACCTTCGCTGGTGATGCGCATTGTTCCTGATGAAGGGGAAGCTGTAGACTGGACAGCTCATCACAATATTATTTTTCGAGATGTGTTGGTATGTTTGTTGATATTTAGAGCTTCTTTCAACCGCAATTTAATGACATGTTACAGATGTAGGTTCAAGTGTCAGTGCTTGGCCGTGGCTGAAAACTACACCAGGAGACACGAAAAATTGAAAAATTACTTAGTGCTTAGCCTTTTTATTTTAATTCATGCTCTTGCTTTTGGAAAAGCTGGAAAGGTAAACCCATTTGCGACGATAAATTGCCATCAATGTGATTCACCATCAAGTGACATACAAGCTTAGTTAAAGAACATATAACCACGAGGAAACAGTCAGCCAGATTGAGGCATTCTTCATTTTGAGTTACTTCTTACTATATTTCTGTCTTCTCGTAATACTTTCATGGATACTAATTACCAGAAAACCATGTCGTTGTTGCATTTATTTAATTATCTTTCACAATTTGAATCCAATGTGCTCGACAGTCGACATTTTTTCATTACACTTGTAATGATACAAAAGTAATTGATACCTTAAATGGCTAGAGAAAATTCAAACATGCAGCTATTAAACTGAAATAATAGTAATAATTAATTCCAAATCATGTGATGTGCTTCTAGTGTCAAAAACGGATAAGCTTCTTTCATGTACATTATTTATGCTGACCAACCTCTCTACCTCCACTTTTGCTCACTAATGAGGTGTTTTGTTGTTTTGCAGGAGGCGATATCTCAGGTGATGCCTCATGCTACAGCCACTGCATTTGAATGTATGTACAGTCATTACTTAAAAACTAGTAGAACTGAACCACGCTATTATGAACAATCTGTCTGGAGCTTTCTGTTCCACACTGAAAAGGTCAACATAAAATACAAGTCCACATTGCTGACGTGTTCAGGGACTTTTGTAATAATGATGAAAAGTATGTAAATTGAACTATATGAAGATTACATTCATCAATTAGTATATACCTGTGCTTTCATACTGGGGAAAAATAATAACAATTATCAAGGTTTGTGTTTGCTTTCTTGAGAGTCTTAGATTTAAAGCTGCAGCATATTCTAAAATATTGAATTTTATCCATTCAAGTTTTCCACTATTGTGTTTTTTTCCACTGGAAATAGATGAAGATGAAGAAGGAGATAGAATCACTGTTAGGGGTGATGAAGAACTTCAGGCCATGATCAATGGGGTAAATTATCATGATAATGGTTATATTGACTGGATTATATTTTAAATCGATGCAAAGTCCAATTATGATAGATGGCAAAAAAGTGATTTTCAGAATTCATCCATCTTGGCTAGCATAAGAGTATAGGTTTCTTAATATTTGTTTAACTTTTGGTGGTGTACAACTCATTGAAAAATGTGATACCATTATAAACAGAGGCAGATGCATCTACCTTCAATACCTCAATCTTAAGGGAATACAAAATGATGCCCTTGAGTCCTTATCTAGAGATGTTTGCTGAACATTTAAAATATGTTGAAGTGACACTTGATTCTGAGCCTTCTTCAACAATTTACTCAATTTTAAAGTCATAGATAATTTAAATTACCATAATTTTAAATTTACTAGGATCAATAATGACTGTGTACATGAACATATTTCTGTAATGTTTGTGTTGTCAAAATTATTTCTACAAAAAGCACATGTGGATGAACTGTGAAAGGCAGAGAAGAGGAGTACCACTGGAGCCATTAATGGTTTATCCAAAAGGTATTTGATTGGATGGTGTTACCTATATATGAACTGTATTTTTAAATGTGCATTCTTGTTTTATTTTTTATGTACACAGAAAGTAACAATGTATATTATGTGCTTCAAATTTAACTCAAGATAAAAACTTTTGATTATAAACTTGTTTTTATTTTGAAATTAGTCTTATATGATTTAAACTGATTTCCATTAAAACTTTTTGAGTCAGATCTTGAAAATGATTTTAAAGCTAATTGTACATCAAATTTTTCCTTGTACAGCTTGTAGAACTTCTAGAAGGAGGAATTTTTGTGGACTGACTGTAAGTGCAGTTATTACATGTAGGTAGACATGGCAGATGTGAACTACAGTCAGGATAGTTCTAATTTACATGTACATTCTTCAGAGCTGTCAGCTAGAGCCATTTATTCATAAATAACATTTTCCTCTAGCTTTGAATTAATTCATAGACTTTCAGAAAGTAACATTATTGTGAGCTGAACTAATAATTGAAAATTGTGTGTCTGAACATTTTGTTTAGGTTAACACAAAGGCAGCTCCAGTAAACAATGCCATGCCAACTAATGCTAGTCTCCCTACAGAAAGGTTAGTTGTTTCTATACATCTAGTTATTGAGCCAAATTTCATTTATGTCAACCAACTTTCTCTGATCAGCACAGGTTAAAACAAATGTTGGTCAGTTTTTGTCTTACACCATTTTCTTATCTTTAAGCTCACACAAACCAGAGAGGGGGGACATAAGGATTATCTTAGCAAATGGTCAGGTAAGAGAGGAAAATGTCACCAAAAAGAGGTGCTAATTAAAAGAAGTAAAAAGAATGGATGAACTTTGAAAAAATGGAAAATATACATTTATTGTATCAAAAAGTTTCCTTTGATTAAAAATTTTTTCAAACTACATTTTATTTTGTATGAGTCATCTATTGTCTTGAAGGGTTAGACTATACAGTCAATTAAATTAGAAGACAAAGGAAATTGAAAATCAAATTGCTCTGAAAGAATTGTTACATAATTGAGAATTATGTAACAATTTAACAGAATTGTTAAATAATGTGAAATGAGATACAATACACTTAATTGCATAAAGTGAACCTTTTAGGCTGACATACTGTACACCTGCATGGTTTAAGGAGATTTCAAAAAAAGTTGAAACATATTTCTGATATGAGTGCAAGGTTGGAATGAAGTAGCCTGACAGTTATGGAAATTTGGTCTGTAATTATACAAGTGATTAACAAAATCAGATGACTGTGAAGTGGGAGTCCAATTTGTTAATCACGAGTATGATTACAGACAGTATTGGACAACAAGAAGTCCTGTCACCAATTAATCATCACCATAATGATTTCAATTTCTGAAAAGGCAAATACACCTAGAAAAAATTTCTTCAGTGGATACAATGTCTTTAGTTAAAAAAAACCTCCATTTTGGAAATTCCCCAGTTTTTCTTTGGATAAGTGATTGTTGCTATCAATGATTATTTTGGTCATTTCTGTGATTGGTGGAATTAGTATGATTGGCTGCTTCAACTGTCTGATAACAGGTGTCTGTTTACAGCCAACTGTCTGATTAGAACAGTACTTTACAAAACGATAAGTGAAAAATGAAGCTGCAAATCCACCAATAATATGTGAGGAATTTGTAATGGTTATGATTAGTAGTATAATTCAAATGCACTTGTTTCATGTTACAAAAATTGATTGAACTTTTAGGATTAAATAATTTCTAGCTCCCTAACTGTATGCACTGATGCATCTGTAGGTATCTCACACTGACATACAGCATCTAGACATTTTGGGCCATGGAAATGGAGGAACAGTTTATAGGTGGGTTATTCACTCTTAATTTGATTTTAAATTTTGAATTTCTATTGTCAAATGAACTGTAAGTGCTGTAACCACTTCATGCATAAAATTTTCTCTTTACCTAGCTTATAACTGAAAAAAACTTGCAAACAAAAACTGTGTTACTTTTGAGCACTGTGATTGAAAACACCCAAAGTACCATTCTGTCAATTGCAGCTGAGCCTGTGTTTTTTTCATTTGCTCATGGCTATTGTTCTGCTTAGGGCATTACACACAAGCACAAGCAGAATTATTGCAGTTAAGGTGAGTGTCTGGATTTGCTTTGAGGGTAGGTTTGTGTTATACCTTCTTGATTACCCACAACAGTTCCATTTTTCAAACATTATTTTCTAATAAATTGCTTTTGTGGAAAATTTACACGTTAAGTGATTTTTTTAAAAAATGCTTTGAACTGACAGAGTGCAAATTCATAATTTATTAATTTAATTTGTAACTTTGCTATGAGTTTAAATTGATGTATAAATTTTACTTGTGTTATACATGTATGTTTTTCAGTAAAGTTATTGGATCTGTTGAAGTTAAAAACTTTTTGCTGTAAAAGTATATTAAGAGCTGAATGATATTATCTTCAGGTGATTCCTTTAGATGTAACTCCTGATGTACAGAAACAGATCATTTCTGAATTGGAAATACTTTTTCAGGTAAAGTTGTATTGTACATTATTTTATTATTCAAATCTATTTGATTGTTCAATGCTAATTATTGTCCTTTTTTAACTGCTATTTTTTTCAGTGCTCTTCACCATTCATTATTGAATTCTATGGAGCATTTTTTGTTGAAAATAGGTATGGTATCCTTTCAGTCAAATTAAATGCATCGCTATCCTCTCTTTTTACACTCTATGGTGTTCTCCAGAGATTGTTTAATTGGTCAGCCTTAAAAAAAATACTAGCCAGCAAAGGCTAAAAGAAATTTTAGATTGAGACATATATTTCACTAGTTTGTTTACTGTAAACTCCAGCATATAGGTGTATAAAAGCAAGCCACAACAATATTATTACTAGGTGAAAAAATGCTGGTATTAATTTTAATGATGCTATTACCAACTGAATATTGATTTGGTTTCATTTGGTGTATTTTTTCATAGGATATCAATTTGTACAGAATATATGGATGGTAAGAACTGTACGATAGGCATAAAGAACTGTGCAAATTAACCTCCTTGCTCCTTGAAGTTCATAGAACTAGCTAATATTGCAGGACCATGTTTTGTATATGGGGACTAGTTCAGAAATTTGTTAAATCCCAAGGCTTTTAAAGCCTATTATTGTAGGTGGGTGTACTCTCTATTTCAAAACCACACTTCTGCTATTACACATAAATCAACCATGTACAGGTAACGCACATGACCTTTTGTTAACCACCAGTTGAAAGCAAACATTTTTTGTAAAAGTAAAACGCTAGTTTCCATTTAAGGTCAACACCTTACAAATCTAAATAGAACCAGTTTATTGACCAATTTTTTTCATTTTTTTTTTTCAGGCGGTTCTCTTGACCAGTATGGCTGGATTCCTGAACCAGTTCTGGGAAGAATTGCAGTTTCAGTGAGTGCTCTTAAAATCTTTTTTTTAATTTTTTTGATCAAACATCTCTTAAACAGTTCATAGCTGCATGTACATGTAACTTTTTCTGACTATTTTTCATGATTTATAGGTGGTCAAAGGACTCCTTTATTTGTGGGAGCTAAAAATTATGCACAGAGGTTGGTAATACATGGTATAATACATTAGTAATTTATCAAGAGTTCCATTCTCTTACGTTTCAACAGAGCCCCTCACGGTCAGACTAATGACTTCATGTTCTTATTGTAGATGTGAAACCCTCAAATATTTTGGTGAGCACAAGAGGTCAAGTGAAATTATGTGACTTTGGTGTCAGTCGACAGGTAAGTAAATTTGGACACTGATTTAAAAAAAGGTGTACATAGCTAAATTTTTTTTAGTTAGAATTTCATTTCACAAAATTGTTGCTTGCTTTACAGCTGGTCAATTCAATTGCAACAACTTATGTTGGAACTCATGCTTACATGGCGGTGAGTTGAAGTTTTAACATTATACAGTAGAGGTTTCTTTTTTTTTTTGAGAGGTGCAGTTTTTTTTTATTTATTATTTTTTCATTTATTCATTTACTTTTATTGAGAAATCACTGCATCTGATTTGCTCAGAACGATGTTACATTATGTCGCACGTTACTTGAACGTTTCGGCGAGGACCAATAGACGACTCATTTTAACTCCACATTGTGCTCAAAATTCACGACATAGGAACTCACTCCTTCAGTAATTTATAGATCCTCCGGGGATATCTCCGAAAATGGGATTTATCTTAAAAAATAAGTAAACAGGGGCTACAGTCAGAGGGAAGGCCTATGTGGGTTGTGCAATCTCTTATCTTGATTCTCTCCCTGTAAGACTTATACTATGCGCTTATCGCTCACATTTTGACCAAGTTTTTGAAAAACAATGTAGAGGCTGGGGATTATTTTCGACGTCTTAATAAAAATGGTTCAGGCCATCGAAATAAACCCAAAGAATTCAGCGTTGTAGCGAGAGAGTTCCCTGCTCTCTGGTGCGCAATTAACAGCTCGCTTGACTTTCCTTTGCGATTCATTACTCTCGTATCTCTTACCTCAGCCCGAACGCATACAAGGAGATGAATACAGCATTCGATCGGAGCTCTGGAGTCTTGGCGTGTCTCTTCTTGAGGTAAAGAAAACATCCAAGGTTTTTTGACTGAATTGATCGTTTCGCAGTGAAAACACCTTGATTGAAACAAACTGAAACTCGATTGTTTTAAACTTTCATTTTTATTGCAGATGGCTTTGGGAAGGTTTCCTTACCCAACGGTAAGAGGTTTAATTTATGGTGGTTGCTTAAAAAGAGTTTGGTGGTTTTTAACTGTCTTTCTACAGGAATCTTTAAAATGTGACTAATTTCTTCTAATTTTTTTAATGCATTTTTTGTTTAACAGGAGAGTCATGGAGGCGCCGAAACGTTTCTGGTAACATTGCAATTTTATTGGAAATTTTTGTAACATATTATTGATTTTGACTAATTCGCTTTAGCGAGAAGTATCTCGTCCCGCTGTTCGGGCATGCCTACAGACATCAACAGGCGTGGTCCACTTGGCCACAGCGCGGTGATGTCCGCATGGTTGACGAACGAAACGCGACTTAACCGTGCAGTTCATAACCATAAGCCGTGTTTAAAGTTTGCTTGGTCAAATGCACGAAACCCCGACACAGTAGCAGCAAGAAGTCTCTTGTCAGTAATAGTTGAAAGGTTTTATTTCTCAATTTTTTACCTCCCTTTTCGAATAAGATGGGTCATTCAAAGCCAACTTCTTTCGATTTAAAGTAATCAGGGATCAGCCAATGAAAAGGTCATGCTTACATGGAGTTTTGAATAATACACGCACGTTCCCCGCCCCCCACAAACCCCTCAAACGAAACACGCGGGCGATGTCCCTCTGATTTATTGATTTATTGGTAGGCGGTACTGTAGTCTCGACGTATTACACGGCAGTAATCCCTAACTTTGACTGTGATTATTAAGACGTAAAGTTCAGTTTCATTTAATTTGATCGAAGTTACAATATAACGAAAGAGAGTGGTTGAAAATAGTTGATAATAATATATATGAAAAATAGCTTGAAACTACTCTCTAAGGTCTTTTTACCGTCGCCACCAATTAGTAAACAATAGTGAAAACAACAGTGACATCATAAGCTATGATAACAGCTTGAAAACCTGAGTTAAGACCAGCCTTTTGTGATTCTTTTCACAGCCAATAGCGTTACTTCAATGCATCGTTCACGAGGTGAGCAAAATGTGTCTTGTTCTTCATTTCATGTTCAATTGTTTTTCTGGGAAGGTGCTCATATTTCTTGCTATGTTACCCCGAAAGGGAAGGTCATTATCATATGTGATCTCCCAGTCATGAAGTACTTCACTTTTGCTTTACAGTCCTTGCTCTACTGAAGGATGCGTAGTTATTTGCATAGTTTGTTATTTGTTTGTTTCTCTCCTCATCTCAAGAACCCGCCACGGCTACCTGAGGATAAATTCTCACCAGCTTTTGTGGATTTCGTGTCTCAATGGTACGTTATTGATTTCTAAGATCATCGTGTTGTG